ACAAAAACCCCACAAAAATCAGCGTTAATAGATGCAAACACCCCATATCAAAATCCCATAAGCAACTAAATAAGGGCAGATTTTACGTTTTGTTCCTTCCACTTGCAATAGCAGGAACATTTACGTTAAGGGACTTACTTTTATAGGGAGTTATCGAATAGCAATTTCAAATGAGCTCCAGAGCAAGAACTACTGGTCACTGTAAAATAATAATGTGGAGAATCAGTATATACCCAGCACTAGGTCAGGCTCAGCAACCGACTCAAATACCTTCATAATATTCAGACAGGCCACTTCTGAAGTAATTTCTACTCCAGAAGCTATAAGATGAAAATTCCGTGTGATAAATTAAGTTGCCAAATGAAATGGATTAGCAATCAGCGAAATTGCCTGATGTCAGATCTGTTCCAGATTAGAATCCATCCTTTTTCCCCACCTGTTCATTAAGCGCCAGGTTCAAGGCAACGGCGGTGACTGATTGCGCATTAACAAGCTGTTTGTGTGGAAAGGCAGAGTTCAGCCACTATCTGCACTTACACACTCCTATAAAGTAATTCCCTGATAATATATTCAGCTCCCGGTATCAATACACGGCGCTTCTCCCCTGACATGTAATTTTGGGCTGGAGAAAAATGGGATGCCTCATAAAAAAATCAAGATCATAACTCAAGGTCAAGGCCAGGGGAAAGAAGAGTCCAGAAGAAAATCCGTCACTATCTCCAGTTGGGAAAAGTGGATAAGGACATTGCCGTGGCACTAAAACACTGAAAACACGGTTGGGAAGTCAGAAGCCTGAGGGAGAAAAGGCGTATTTCATTAGGAAACGTGGGACTTAAAATGAAAATGTGTTTTTTTTCATCCTCTAAGTCGAGGCACTGTGCTCAAATACAATTTACAGGGAGCCATTTAGTTGCTGCAACTGCAGCGACCCTCTAACTGCAAACTTGGAAGCAATACTAGAGACATGTGACCAGAGAGAGCTAATTGAATACAACTGATCATCCTCCCTTGGCCTGAAGATGAAAGGTTTCTGTTCTCAGCACCAAACTTCTGTATGGATACCCAAGAATATTTTTTGAAGCTAAGAAGAAATGTCATTTCTTCAAATGTTCTGCAAGTCACCCTCCTCCTCCCAATCAAATAAAAACAAGGAGAAGCCTCTTGTGCCCCTCACACAATCCATCTTGCCCCTGCTAAAAACTCCCTCACAGGAATATGAGTCTCCTGATCTTAGAACTGGGCATAAGATTTATTAACAAGCAGGAAGTAAATGAATACCTGAGCTGAGCAGTGATAAAGTACTGGCTTAAGGTATATCAGGTACACAGACATCCATGTCACACCCACCTGAAAATTCCACTCCTCCAAATAGTCACTGCATATGATATAAACAGCAACGTGGTTTTCCCTATATTTACTAAAAACACAGAGGAAATTTATACTTTATCACTTCGTTGATGCACAATCTATTTTTCAAACCTTACTGAGGTTTTCACTGCTGATTTCTGTAGCTGGGATTGTCAGAGGGACGAGATGACCCCTCTCTCCCTCTCCTAAACACAGACACACCCTCTGAGTTGTTTGGAAGTTGGCTAATTGTGGTTGTCTGGCTTCCAGGTGCTTGAAGCACTTTCGGCACCAGGATGAAGTGACATCCAGGAATATTTAATTTGTTAAAAAGCCCGGTTATCAAGGATTTATGCAGGAGCTATGTTCCTCTAAGAGAGCCTGTTCCCATTGTTAGAGCGTAATAATGACAGAGCAGAAGAGGATATGGGAGTAAAAACAAGATCTTTGTACAAATCTTACCTGAACCCTCAGAAAAAAAGCAGGAAGGACGTGACATAACAGGATACCTGAGACAAAACATCAACTTAAACTAATACCTGTCTGCAATGCAATCAGCAGCAAGGAAGTTTTAGGAGACCAGTCTGGAAGAAAAAGAGGTTTAAAGGGGTAGATAATTTACACTGATTTTAGCAAAGTGGCTCCTTCTTTCAGCTCCCTTCTCCCTCATGCTGCATCTCACATCTTCACTCTGATCCTGAGTGATTTCAAAACAGCTGTTCTGATGTGGTTCCTTTCAATATTTTTGGGAAGTAAGTACCATTCATGTTGTCTGTTAAAATTCTAGGAAAAAAGGGGATCCTTTTGCAGCAGAGTTCATCAGTAATATCCTGATATTTAGCTACATAAGATCAACATTTATAGCCATTTATGTCTCATTTCCTCCTCACAGGCAGCTATTCGAGAACATACATTTTTTTGGCAAGACGTTTGTATCCAAATCTGGAGACAATCCGAACCACCTGAAACCCTTCCACAGCTCCAGAATTTTCAGGATTATTCCCTCAACTTCAGGCATGTTTAGTTGTTCACATAAGTCAAAGTAAACATTCCAACTGTAAGTCTCTTCCTGTGGCCTTAATCTGGATATGAGTTGCTGTATCTTAGACTATTTATTACAGGAGACAGTTAATGGGATTTCTAAGTTCAGAGAGAACCCAAACAGGCAGGAGGGAATCAGTCATGAACATGTAGGGTAGTCAAGGAGCATTAAGTATAAAAAAGAACTTGCACAGCTTTACCTCCAAAACTCCCCTCTCCCATCCCATGCTCAGGGGGCTGCATTTTATTCAGTTTACACACAGAGGCTGGTGGTTTGACTTTCTGCTTCATCCCTGAGGCTTGGACAACTCCCATTGCAGAAGGGAAGACAATGGAGTTCTTTGCAAAAGCAACACAGGGTTGAGAAACTCAGGTTTAGATACAATCTAAGAGATGCTCCAATTTCATCGAAACTGTTTGATTTAAAGGGAATGCCAGTGCAGCAAGTGGATGTTTGGACAAATAACATGGACCTTGAACCCAAACACCCTCCTCACGCAGCTTTCCAGCTGCCCTCCACAGTTTAAAAGGTTTAACAGAAAAAAATGCAACACTGAAACCAAGAGCAAACCAAAGGCTTACACTTCAAATTTAATTCCTGCTTTGACATACAGAGAGCATTTGATATTTTTTTCCAAGGCAACTGCAGGTTAGTGTTTTTACCTAAAAACTTATTACCACCCCATAGTAGTTAATTTATTACGCACTTTAGGAAATATAAAAGATTACGAGAGAGGGTTAGAAGAATCTCAAAAAAATCCACTTGTACCCAAGCCCTGCCCTGGGACTGCTGCTCCATGTCAGCCTGATGCACCAAAGCATCCCTGTAAAAAAAAGAGCCTTTCAACAAGTATCTCTGCCAAAATCTAATCTGAATCTCTCATCGACCCCAAATCCAATCTAAAGAAGACAACAGTAGAAACAACAACTTCCTTTTTGCCAAAAGCCTTCTAGGTACTTTCAGAGTGTCGTGTCCCTCTTTAGGTTTTTCAGTCTCAGTTTGTACTGGTTTGGGTGGTCTTTAGACCTTTTCTCACAATTGCACATTTAAGAGGTGTTGTGTTGATTCTATTTTTTTAATTTCTACTCAGAGATGCATTTCTCATCAGGATGGCAGGCAAGTTTGCAGGCAGATAATGTCACTGGCAATCTGGGCTATTTCAAGCAAAAGGAATAAAACTCCCTTAAATAAAGAAAAGCAAAGTACTATTCCAAAGCTTATCTGCAACCAGCTCCAGCCTGTAATTCAAGGGAGGCCCACGGGCAAAGAGAAGCTAAATACAAATGGAGAGGAGTGTGCTAACATTGACTTACTGGAAAGCAATAAAGTAAGGAAGTCAGCAAAGGCACTACTGGAAAAAAAATCATCCTAAAAAAAGAACTAGGAAAAAATTAAAATATTAAAGCTTCAGAGGCCTTGCCAACACAGTGAGGAGGGGATCACGTTACATGGATGGTACCGTGTTGTTTGTAATTTAGGAAGGCTTTTGTGCATCACTAAACCACAAGATTAATTAGGAATTCTCCATGGGAATACCTCGGTACTTGCATTTTGAAAGGACTAAGGATTCTACCTGTGCTCCACAAAACCCACCAGCAGATTTCCAGTGTTCAAGTGGGGAGTCACACAGAGAGAAACAGCATCCAGCAGTCCGAGAGAGTCTGTTCACAAACCTCCACACTGCGTGAGCAAACATTCCTGTGCTCTTTCCAGACTCGAGCCGGCACCTCCACACGGTTTTTTACAAACACATCTATTTTTGCCAACATAGCCTTGGGAATCTCTGCACTTCAGTCCATCACAGATAAGATATTAAAACAGGCTTCCTTCCAATAAATGAATCCCACCAGAAATTAGTTCTCGAAAATTCATCAGTGCCGCGCAAATACTAGGTGGGGGAAACACTTCCAGCCACATTTTTGGGGTGGGGAGTGCAGCCAAAGGGGAAACCTTCCCACAGTCTTTCCAAAAAAAAAAAAAAAACAACCCAAATCATCTTACTATAACCTAATACACAAAAAAACTAACTGCAGAGGCGTTTCCCTCCTTTTGTCACAGGATGCTACACACAGTTCTTCACCTCAGCTGCCCACATGGAGACAGTCACTGAGCAAGAAGTGGTACTAAAACAGTTACAACACTGGAGGCCAGGACCAAAAGTTGCAGAAATAGAATCTCCCGACAAGAAAGCAAATACACAAACCACATAAACCAAAATCAGATTTCATGTCACCTCTTAGTTAAGGTTTTTACCTTACCCAGCCCATTGATTTATAAAAACAGACTGGAATGTACTGCACCAGCTTGGTATCAAAATTGAGCCTTCTACAACATGAAAGGTGAAGTCCCAGCTACAAGTACAGCCAAAAGATGGATATAATAAAATCTGTTGTGGTGACCACGCTATTAAAGTTTCACAATAAGCCCTGTCACAGTAAAGGCACACAGGTTGAAGAGATGGAACACAGCAGAATTGGGGGGAAAAGGTCTGTTTTCCAACAGATTTACACAGGACACCCCGGTTTCAGGCAACTTTTCAGAGTTCTCACTTGCAGCGTGGAGCTATAAAGGATTTTCAAGCGACGACAATGTAAAATATTTCACCACCTACCAGCATTAACGATGGCATCGACCTCCAGCAGTGTGATGTCCCCTCTGTAGAGAGAAACTTTCTCACTCAGACTTTTCTTCCCCTGCACGTCTTCTTTGGGGGTTTCACCTACACAGAGAGCAAGGAATAAAATCAGGTCACCAATGTGGGTCTGAGATGGTTATTTACAGGCCCCAAGCAGGCAGCAGTCCAGTCACACACTGCTGTCACACTGCAGCAGCTTCCCGTTTCACCTCGAGAGGGCACCGATAACCCACAGAGACACCAGCACTGCCCTAAAAATCGCTCTGCTGGCCTGTTGGTTCCCGATACAAAATAGTAGGAAGCACTGAATCCTTGCCCACGTACCATTTGATTACAAACCCGTACAAACACACATTTTCTGAAGCAAGATCCATCAAGTTTTATTTGGTAATCACAAGGGAGCAAATTGCAACAACAAAGGAGGAATTAATTAGGATAACGCTCCCACTAGAGCAATAATTTCTCCAAATGAGTACAAAAATATACAAGCACATGATTTGCCAACAGCCCCAAAATTCAGAATGACTCCTGTAGACAAACAGGAGAAGAAAAGCCTGAAAAAAACCCACCATTTAAAACCTGGAGTTTTGTCACCTAAAATTGCTCAGCTAGAAGGAGGCAGGTGGTGAAGACACAACAAACATCAGCTTTCAACAGACTTGTTAATAAATAATGTTACAATTAACAAGTAAGGTCTGTTATTCTGGCAAACTCTTTAATTTTTGCATCACCAAATCACTTCATTTGCACCCTACTCAGTCTTACAGAGCAGTTCAGTAACCTCCAACCCTTTTACAAACAAATAGCCCAAAGCTTCACCAATTCTTGCACTGTTAGACATGCACATCATCAGCAACAAAATGAGGAGGGGAGATGATTAAATTTACTTTTATTATGACTTTCTTAACATTCCTTTCAACAAAAGTCTCCAGAGGCTCGAGTTTATCTACTGGTCAGAAATAGAACTCATTTGCTAAAGTGACAAAGTGGGAAACAGTTCCAAATCTTCAGAACAAATAAATTTTGTTTGCAAGCAAGGAGTCCTCAATATTTAGTGAGAAGGCAGAAGCAGGCCAAACAAATTTGACTCTTTAGTCTTAGCCTAAATTCCCATGAACTTAAAAATAACTGCTCACATTTGTCAGCATTGCAAGCAACATTCCTGCCCTGGCACAGCTCCTCCTCACGGAGCTCCTGGGGCTCAGACACACTGCCAGTGGCGAGAGAGCAGCTGAGACAGACACAAGTTCAGACTTTATGGGCTCACCTTGGCTACCAGGAAAGGGTCTTGTGACATCACAGCACATTTGGTGACACCCTCCCTCCCCGTCCAGTGCTCCCAGTGATGCCACCACCCTCACATTCCACCCTCATGTTCCACTGCCCAGCCCTCTGAGCTCAGCTCAGGGTGCTGGTGGGGGATTGCAGCTCCTCAGGCAGCACCGCGATGCTCCGCACGGGGCTCTCCCTGCTCCTGGGGCTCTCCCTTCTCCAGGGGCTCTGGGCAGCATCGCCCCTCCTTGGTTCCCCCAGGGCCAGCAGCCGTCCCATCAGGGTCTCGGCCCGGGTGGATGTGCCTGCCCAGGCCCTGCAGCAGCCGGGAGCTGGCGCTGGCATGGGCAGTGCCGGCCTGTGGCCCCTGCTGGTGCTCGGCTGCAGCTGCTCGGCCCTGTCCCTGCTGGTGGCCGCGCTTTGGCTCGGATGCCGCCTCTGGAGGAAAGCCAAGAGGCCAAGGAGGGAGGTGAGGGATGGGGTCAGGCAGCTGGGACGGGGCCAGGACACACCACAGCCTGGGGCTGCAATGTGTAGGGTGAGGACTGGCAGCCCCTGTGGAGAGCAAAGCCTGGGCAGGCACCGAGGGCCCCTCTGCCCCAGCCCTGCACCCAAGGCCAGAGGCAGAGCTGGGCTCAGTCTCCTTCCTCCCAGGAGGAACCCAGGACAGGCTGAGCCACAAGGGCCCCAGGACAGAGCCTGCCTGAGCCCTGCTCCAGGCACCCTGCCCAGCCAGGCCCCAGGAGAGCCCAAGCCAAGCCGGAGGGGTCTCAGCCCCCTGAGGCCCCTCTGCCCCTTCCATCGTGCTCCCCGCCCTGTGTCTCCCAGGAGAAGGGCTGGACACCCTCGGCGTGGCCAAGGACCTGCTGCCTGGTTGAAGGCTCCCCCCTCAGCGACGAGAGGATCTGCCGGCAGAGGGAAAGCCCCGTGTCCATCATGAGCTACCTGAGGCACCTGCGGCGCCGCTGCCTGCTCCGGGACGTGCTCCAGAGGGGAGGGAACAGCAAGGACTTGGATGAAGAGGCAGCACTTTTCTCTGACTGAGGAATCAACACCTGATGGGCAAAGGGAGCAGTACACTGCAGGATTTCTAACCCAGGCTTTTTTATTATTAAAATTATTTACAAAATAAGACAGCTTTTGTTATTGTTTTAAGCTTAGTCTTGCTAACAAGTTGACTGTAACTGCTATGGGAAAGTGAAGTCAATAGTCACTAAATCATCTTTGCATCCACACACACAAAGGATAGAGTTGATCCTGGTACACCCTTGCTAAAAATGTATGTTTTGTTTCAGCTGTTTTTGAAGACACACAGAGTGAAAACACGATAAATGCTCCAGCTTCTCCTCTTCCCTTCTGCCCAGCCTCAGGAATATATTAGAGTTGAACATCTTCACCAGAAACAGTTGATCATCATTCACGTCCCATCCACACTTTTTCCCCCTCTAGATCCACCCATCACCTTCTGTCCCTTTGTCTATGCAACCTAATTTCATTTTCCTCTTCCTCCAACATCATGATCCCTTTGGCCCCAACATCTGAGTCCACAGAGCCACAGCCTGAAGTAGGATGAGGTTGGTTAGCTGAGCTTTTCACACCAAATACAGCAAATAAACAGTCCTTGTCCTCAGCTTTACTTACAACTCCTTCCAGCTCACCCCCAAAGGAAAAGGGCCTTGACAACTCACACGTGGGTAGAAAAACACATTCGATTTAGTCAACAGAAACCGTGCTCATAAAGAAAACGTGTTAAATTCTTCCAAACTAAGAGGAAAAAGGACTGTCAGAACATCTCACTAGAGGGAGCCCCCAGCCAGGACATGAATATGCTCAGCTGGTGCCATGGACAAGGATGGCACAAACCTACAGCATCGGCAAAGTCAGCCCTGAAACTCAGTCACTGCTCAAACAGCCAGGGTTTTAAAGTCTAGTATCGAGTATCTTAACTTTTGAAATTGAGGTCTCAGGCATCCAATTACAGGAGTCCCTGCAGCAATACCAAAGAGCTTACAACCAGAGGGAGGAGAAAAACCTACAGCTGGAAGAGTTTCTGTTATAAAAACCCCTTAAATTTGCATTTTAAAACTACTTGTTAATGAAAGCAGAGCACACACATAGTAAAAAATAGGTACCAAAGCCCCCTGGTATAAAGCAATACCTATGGCAAAATAAAACGTTCCAAGAGCAAAAGCCAGTAAGAGAAGAAATCCAAGAAAGAACAAGTGAAAAGGGTTGATGGCAGCAAAGTTCACAGGCTCACACTGTTACAATAAAAGTTTGTTAAACAACTCAGATGACTTAATTTCCCCCCCCCCCCCAGTTTGTAAAAATGAATAACAGACTGAAGGGGAAAAAAGCTGAAAATGGGCGAGTTGCATCATTTTTAGTCAGCTTCAGAATTCACGGCTGAAGGAAGTAAATTAATTTGAAGTCCATAAAAGTCTGCCCACTATCTCATCCCCACTACAACATCTCTACTAGTAGAGATGTGTATCCCCACACAAGGAAGGCTTTTCTGACAGGAGCTGGAGAGAATGCTGGAAAAAGAACCCGAGCAAGGGATGAGAGTCACAATGGGATCCCCAGACAAGAGCCAGCACTTCCACTCCTGGGAGAATCCTCAGCAAATACTGGACTGGGACACTGCTCCACTGGTTTTGGGTTACTTCAAAAAAAAAAAAAAACAAAAAACAAAAACAAACAAACGAGTTGAGCAAGCTTTAGGAGTGCTTCTGACCACAGGGGAATGTGCAGCAACAACTCTGCTACACACTCTGTGCCTTTTCCCTTCAGTGTTTCTTTTTTAATTTAAAGCTTTGTTTTCACAAGTGTCCTTGTACAGATTAAAAATGACAACCTATTACCAATTACTAACCTCCCATCTAACACAGCCTTCTATGCCATTTGTTTCTGCACAGGCTTAAGGAGTTTTAGAAAAGACAGATTGTAAGACCCGTTCTATTCCATGTCTGCTTCCACTCCTACTAAGCGTGGATGATTGTACAGGAAAGGCAATTGCTTATCTAAATCAAGATAAGCATTATTTCCATATGTTCCATCACCAGGGGGAAAGCATTCACAGATGCACTGTAGTACTTCAGATTTGTAGTACAGATTTGCTCTATCACTTCTTGGACTTAAACGAGATCAGAACCTGAGCACAAGGAGGAAACATCTGCTGCAGACAAATCACTTCCTACCCAGCCAAAAACGCAGCACAACATGCAAGTCAGAGGCACTGGATGATGAACACCAACACCTTCTCTCTGGCTGCACACTCTGCCAATATGGTGCGTTTCAGCTAATTACAAAGTGGCATAATTGGATTAGCCCAGGACTACAGCCAAGTACCAAACCCCCGAGGCAAACAGACACCAGGAACCACAGAACGGAGGAGGTTGGGTGGCACCTCCAGGAACTGTCAAGTCCAACCTCCCCACTCAAAGCAGAGTCACCCAGAGCAAGTCACCCAGGACCCCGTCCCACATCAGTTTTGAATATCTTCAAAGACAGAGACTCCACAACCTCTCCAGTAACCTGTTCCAGTGTTCAGACACCCTCACACTAAGTGGATGGGTTTGTTTCTAATGCTCAGAGAGAATTTCCTCTTCCAACTTGTGCCTCCTGCCCTGTCCCCGTGCAGCACTAAGAAGAGTCTGGAGCCATCTCCCTTACACCCTCCACTCTGTGTTTATAAACTCACCAGATCCCACCTGGGATGACTTTTCCTCAGGCTAAATCTGACCATCTTCCAGGTCAGGAGGTAACCGAGTCTCCCATTCAAGGTTTTTCGGGAAGTACAAAATACCCCC